AATTTTAACTGAGCAGTGTAGTGAAATATCACAAGGTAGAAGAATCCCCATCAAGCGAAAAGATCTTGGATCTATAGCAATCCTATGCACTATAAAAGATAGAAATTTCAAGAAGGTCCTAATAGATTCAGATTTTAGTGTGAGTCTCATGCCATTATCTATTTTTAAAAAGCTGGGTATTGGAAAGGTGAGAGATACAGAGACAAATTTAAAATTTCCCGACCACACGATTAAGTGATCATATGGGCTAGCAGAAGATGTACTGGCGACGATTGATAAATTTAGCTTTCCAGTTGATTTTGAGATCATGGACATTCTGGAAGATGAAGAAACCCATATCATTCTTGGTCGACTATTCTTGCTTACAAGTCGATGCAACGTCGATATGGAAAAAGGAACCATGACTTTAAGATAATTTGATAAAGAGATAACATTGAAAGTGTTTGAAATTAAGAACAAAGTGGAAGAAAAAGATAATCGCTATCCTATTGGCATGATCAGAACATATGGGGGAAACCAAATCCCAAAACCTCCACCAGAAAAAGTCTCAAGCATAAACTCTCAGAGGGTGTCATCGTCATCAGCTTCACCAAGCATGGCAACTCAAAGATTCATTCAAGAAGTCAAGAAAAGAAAAGGTAAGGATATGGAAGTTAGAAGTGATTTGAGGCACAAAGTAGCTCTTATCTCTGAACCAGGCCGGTTCTATGAGCCATGCGATGTTAAACGAAGCGTTACATTGGAGGAAACCCACACTTTTACTGACTGAGCATTTTTTGTTTGTTGTTTGTTTTGTTTCATCTGTAGGTAATAAACAAGATCTTGCAGGCGCATGCTATGACGCAGTTGCTGGTGTTGCATTACCTTCTGCATCCTCAGTAATAATCTCTGTGAGTAACCATTCTCGCTCTTATTCTAACACATTGGGGCCAATGTTTAGTTCAAGTTTGGGGGAGGATTTATTATTTTTAGTTTTTCCATTTAGTACTTGTTATTTCTGTTTTTGTGTGTTGTTTTATTGAAACCACTTTGAATTCTCCCTGAATTAGGACCGTAGAAATTTTTCTTGTGAATACTGTGATTGTGAGATAGTCAAGAAAGTATATAGAGTTTGATGTAAGAGGAGCTAGAACTAGGGACATTGGAAAAGAGGGACATTGGGTATTCAAGAAAGTGGATTGAAGCAATGAAGGAGGAGTATAATTCCATGCAAGACAAAAAAAATTGGGAACTTGTCCCATTACCAGAAGGTGTGAAACCCGTTGGTTGAAAATGAATTTTTAAGACCAAGCGGGATTCTAACAGTAATGTGAAGAGGTATAAGGCTTGTTTTATGGCTAAGGGTTATACCCAAAAGGAAGGGATTGACTTTAAAGAGACTATCTCTTTGGTTTCATCGAAAAACTCTTTTAGGACAATCACGGCTCTTGTTGTATATTATAATTTGGAACTCCATCAAATGGATGTCAAGACAACATTTCTTAATGGCAACGTTTGATGAAACAATCTTTATTGTTCAACCAAAAAACTTTGTGTCAAGAGGCTCAATGATTATGGCTTGCAAATTGACAAAATACATTTATGGACTAAATTAGGTGTCTCATTAATGGTACCATAAGTTTCATGAAGTAATTTTCTCTTTTATGTGTATCACATATTCAGTGAGAGCAAATACATTTTCTTGCTCTTGTTTATTGATGAGATATTTCTTACCACTAATGATATATGCATGATGTGCAAAACCAAGAAATGTTTATCAAGAAAATTTGAAATGAAAGATCTTGGTGATGTCTCCTTTGTATTAGGAATTCAAATACATTGAGGTCGGTCTTGAGGTATCATAGGATTATCACAAAAGAGTTATATCGAAATGGTACTTAAAAAGTTTGGCATGCAGAAATGTATACAAGGGGGTACTCCAGTTGCTAAGGAAGACAAATTTAATTTTAGTCAGTGCCTAAAAGGAAACATTGAAATTAAATAAATACGAAAGATTCCTTATGCATCATCTATAGGGAGTCTGATGTATGCCCAAGTTCGTATGTGTCCGGATATTATGTTCATAGTTGGGATGTTAGGCAAATATTTGATCAATCTAGGAATGAATAATCAGAAAGCAACCAAAAGGGTTATGAGGTATTTAAAGAAAACAAAAGATTATACGCTCACATATAGGAGGTCATACCAGTTGGATATTATTAGATATTCTGACTCTGATTTTGTTGGATTCCAGGATAGTAAAAGATCTAGTTCAGGTTATACCTACATGTTGGCTGGATATGGAGTTTCTTAGAGCAGTGCTAGGAAAAAATTTATTGCTTCACCCACCATGGTAGCAGAATTTATATCATGTTTTGAGGCATATAAATATGAGATTTAGTTGAGGAACCTTGTCACTAGGCTACGAATTATGAAAGGAATTGAAAGATCGCTTAAGTTTATAATAAATCAGCTGTCTTATATTCCAACAATAATAGGATCTCGACCAAGTCAAAACGTATTGACATCAAGTTTCTAGTTGTTAAGAAAATGGTACAAAATGAACAAATTTCCATTAAACACTTAGGCATAGACTCCATGATATTAGATCCTTTTACAAAAGGTTTGCCACCTAATGTCTCTCATGAGCACACTGCTCACATGGGTGTTTTACGGTTTGAGGAATCTTTACTTTAGTAGGAGTTAATTATTTGTGAATTTTGTGTTCTATGTTTGATATTATGTATGCATACTCTGGTTTTGAATATTTTTTCTAGTTTATAAAGTTTGATATTCAGCTATTTATACTTTGTACAGTAAGGCTATTGAATGATCTCACTAAAGTAAAGTAGGACCAATTGAAAATCGACATGCACAAGCCACATTCTTATGATTTTCATGCTACACATTTCATGATGAATCTATGTCATTTAGTTATGTCACTATTCGTAATCATTGATGGGTTTAGCTATGATTGATATAAGAAAAATCACTTTGGTTCTATGTACTGGCATGACTAATGGACGAGATTATTTGGATATGCTTGAAGTATATTTAATTATAAATTTTGAGCTCATAAAGTCTAACACGTGTGTAAAGTTACATATGTGACTAATAAAAGATTGTTAGAATTTTGGGTCACAAATGTAATATTAGATATGTTTGCGCCGTTATTTAATTAGGCAAAACTAAAGTAGCCTAATTGATATTAATTCTATGGCTAAGAGCATATATGCAATGAAAGGATATGGTCCCCATTTGTAGAATACGATCAAAACAGTTTATTAGGTTTTCTCTATTCATTCCTATTAGAAGAGAATCAAGAAATCCTAAGTCATTTTACATATCGGAAGATCGCATACCCGCATATCTTCAACGATTCCAATAACAAACTTAGATATGCTTCCGCTTTTATTTTCATCTTGTATTCAAGTATGAGTTCATAGGATATGGATTCAAAAGGATTATGTTCTTAATTTCTATTTGGGTAGAGATACACATTGTAATGAAGCATGTGGTATCAACTATGTGGGTTGTCTGCAATGATATATTGATGTTTTGTTGAAACAATAGTGAATGTAAGAGTGGAGAAAATACAATTTTTTAAAGAAGAGTATTAATGATTAATTATTAATATATATTTATATTCTTTTTAGGATTTGAATCCTGAACTTCTAAGTTGTTTGTTTAGAAGAGAGAAGAAAAAGTTATGGAGGCTAGCATTATTCTTCCTCCATTAAAGTGATAGTTAATGTTCGTAGTCATTAGCCGCCAGTTGGTTTTCTATTGAAGATGATAAAATATGAAAAAGTAACAAATAATGCTTTTCTAATTCAAACATTTCTACTAAGTGTCAAAACATAATACAGCCAAATCAAAAAAGCAGCATTATTAATTCAAACATTTCTAGACGCAAGAAATGTTACTATTTTTTTATTATAAAAACTGTTGTCAACAAATATCTGATTTAAAAAAATATTATTTTTTATAAAATTAAAAAAAATTAATTAAATTTTTTAATTAATTTCATAAAAAGATATTAAGGTTTAATTGGATAGGTTTTATTAAATTTTTAAAATAATAATGATCAAAGAATTTTTTTTAAATTATTAAAAAAAATTGCTAAAAGATTAATAAATTTTTCTGATACACAATAATATTTAAATTTAAATTCATCCGATTCATTTATTTTACAAGATTTTCTGTCATGGTCACCTAACCCAAGTATTACAGTTGTTATAAAGGAAATATTATAGCACTTTATAGGAAAACAATAAAAAAAATTATTAGTTGAGAAACTGGTCAAATAATTATGTTCTATATATAAATAATGAAAATGACATGTTAGTGGAAGAAATTATATAAATTATGGTGCATTCTAAAAGTTGAGGTTTCTTAAGTTATGCATGTTCACACGGTCTGGGTAGATAGCTGGATTCTTTTACTTTGTGACACTGCATAGCAAAGTCAAAATTGAGACTAATATTCCCTTAGTCCCTCACAAAATAAAATATTATCATATGGTACAAAATCATGTTAAAAATATTATAAATGAAATTAAGATAATAATAAACTTACTTAATTAACTTAATTATTATTAGCTAATTTTTATCATCATAAATGCAGAATATAACAAAAAAAATCAAATAATACAATTAAAAAATTTATTTAACATTACTAAAAAAATTATAACTAATAATATTTTTAATCTTTATAGCAAATTATCACATTAGATTAAGAATAATAGTTTAATTGATATGCACTAGCAGGACAAAATAATTTTACACCGTCATTCAATAAATATTTATTAATTTATCATGTTATACTATTAATTTAAAAGTTACTTTATAATATAACAGAATACACGAGAGTGCACATTATTCTTATTATTTCTAAAGTGGTCACCAACTAACATCTACCTAATGAGAGCAGAACACACACTATATATGTTCTCTCCTATGCATTGCATTACACAAGCAACTTCAACTAATACAAATTCTATCTTCTATACAAATCTCATTATGTCTCCTTCACTAGAAACCATTAACGGTGAAGCAAAGCACCTTACAAAAGGTGGAGATGTCCATGAAGAAGATGGCATAGTTTTTGCATTGAACTTGATCACATCCGTCATGCTTCCACTAACCGTCCGATCTGCAATTGAGCTTGGCATCTTCGACATCTTAGCCAAAAATGGAAAAGATGCCAAGCTCTCTGCAGATGACATAGCAGTTAAAATCGGATCAAAGAACGCAGAAGCACCCGCAATGCTGGACCGTCTTCTGAGATTATTGGCTAGTCACTCCATGTTACATTGCTCGCTATCCGAAGAGAAACAAGGGCTTGGATCTCCTCAGAGGCTCTATAGCCTTGCTCCTGCCTCAAAGTATTTTGTGACAGATGCTGATGGTGTGTCTTTAGGACCAACATTGAACCTTCCTTTGGACAAAGTTTTTTTGGGAAGCTGGTTAGTTTATTTTCTTATGACAATAATAAATTTTTCTTATAATGTTATTAAAAGTATTAATTGATTGAATATAGGACTGAAATGAAAGGAGCAATTTTGGAAGGAGGTATACCATTCAATAGGGTTTATGGCATGCATGCATTTGAATATCCAACTGTGGATCCAAGGTTCAATGATGTTTTCAACAATTCTATGGTGAATTGTACAACTATAATCATGAAGAGGATTCTTGAGATTTATGATGGCTTTGAGCACATCAATAAGCTTGTAGATGTTGGTGGTGGTCTTGGGATTAATCTCAAGCTAATTACTTCTAAATATCCTCATATTCAAGGTGTTAATTTTGATTTGCCACATGTCCTAGAACATGCACCTACCTATGAAGGTAAATTTTAATTCTCTAGAAAAATATAAGGCCTTTTTTTATGTGTGTAAAGTTCGACCTCAGAACCTCTGATTATTTTAATGTTGCAGGTGTGACACATGTCGGAGGAGATATGTTTGAGAGTGTACCTAACGGAGATGTTATTTTTTTGAAGGTGAATTCATGCTTTTACATCAATAATCTAGATAATTATTTTATTACATTTTTACTAACTTTATAGATTAATTTTTGAATCATTAGTGGATACTTCATGATTGGAGTGATGAACACTGCTTGAAGTTATTGAAGAATTGTCATAAAGCTATTCCGGGTAATGGAAAAGTGATTGTTGTGGACTCGATTATGCCTGTTTTTCCTGAGAGCACAAAGGTTGCTAATTTGGGTTTCCAATCTGACCTCTTGATGATGGCTCAGAATCCAGGAGGGAAAGAGAGGACTGAAGATGAGTTCAAGGAATTGGCATTAAGATCTGGATTTAGTGAAATGAAAATTGCTTGCAATTTCTCTGGCTTTTGGGTTTTGGAATTCTTGAAGTAGATATCTTTATTAAATATGGATACAAGATTGCATGTTGTTATATTATCTATTAATTGTGTGGCATTATAAATGTTGTAGTGCATAGTGCATGCTATATTTCCTACATAATTTGGGTGTAAAATGTATTTTAAAGAGTACGGGTAATTTTGTAAGGGTAATCTCTCTCATCTTTCATTGAAGTTTAATAATGTTTGCACCCTTTGATCATATATGTATAAATCCTACGAATTAATATATATAATTGTTTAAGGTAAAATAGGTTTTTTCGTCCCGTATATTTAGGTCGGAGTTCATTTTGGTCATTTAATTTTTAAAAGGATCATTTTAGTCCCTCAACTATATTATATGTACTACGTTTATCCTTTAGAGACAAAACACACTAACGGTGTTAAATGTGACAATGTTAACTGCCATGTCAGCTCCACGTAGGACAAGTTCTTATCTAAAAACGGAAAAATGAGGAACACACTTGTTCATGTGTATTAGGGTTGGTTCCATTTGCCTTCATCTTCTTCTGTAAAATCACGACTTCATTTTCTTTTGTTCATGCTTTCATCTTCTTCTGTAATATCTTGTTGACGCTATAAAACATCCATTGGAAAAGTAATGGCTCATAAAAGTTCAACTCCGTCGCAAAAGGGGTCTGAGTACAGTGGAGATGTGAGTTACAGTTCCAAATTTAGGGTTGATTCTTCATCTTCGAAAAATCAATTGAGACCTAATTGTTGGTGTGGTGATTTTGCTATACTCAGAAGGACAAAAACAGTTAAGAATTTTGGGAAGTAATTTTGGAGATGTCTACATTATAAGGTGCGATCTATCTTGTTAAGTTTGCAATTGTGATTATACACAGTGAGTAATGTTGTATGTAACATGTGCAGGGGAATACAACTAATGGATGTGATTATTTTGATTGGTTTTGTGCTGAAGTGAAAGATGACAGGGACATGTTTATCAAGAATCAAAAAAAGAGGTTGGAATGCTTAGCAAAAGAGAATGAAGAATTACAGCAGAAATTGATTAAATATGAAGTATTAGTTGAAGAACTTGAAGGGGCTGTCAATAACACAATGAAATGGAAGACATTTTGCAGAAATTCATTTTTTGTTGCTTTAAATGTATTAATCTACAATTTGTTAATGTAATTGTACTTCTGCAAAGGTTGTTCTATGGGATGAATGAGTTGTATTTCTACAATATTGTTTTATGAGATCAATGAAATGGAATTGTGCAATGTTGTTATTACATGGTATTATGAGATTATGAGATCAATGAAATAGAATTGTGCAATGCTATAATTTGTCTATCACCTAACTGGTATAATTTGTACCAAAACACAACAGTTACAAAACATGTACCATTGTAAGCAAGATATGTCTTTCAATAAGCCTAAAACATAACCGAATATAAGGAAAATATGTCTTTCATTATAGTACCAATATGTCATAAAAGAATTCTCATATAAGGCTTACAACATAGCAGCAAAATATGTACCATAGTACCAATAGATCATAACAAAATTCCCATATAAGGCTTAAAGTAAACAAACCAAATGTTGGGTCCTTGTATATTATTATTGTTCCAACATCTTCATATCTCAGTTCTTTAACAATCCCTAACACCTCAAAATAGCTCCACTTATCAACATCACACTTCACATCAGCAACTGAACCCCGATAACTTGAATCATCATCACCTTCAAAATAACCCACATGGTGTATAACCGAATGAACATATTCATCCATAAAAAAACCTAAACATTACAACATTTGGAATCAGGTACACAAAACCCTAAATCTAGGACAAACCTTAGAATGCAAACACATATGAACCCTAAAATAGAATGAACTTTAAAATAGAAACGAGTGAAGATTATAAACAAGTATGATAACATTACTAGTATTCTCTTAAGAAATCCCTTGTCTTTGTGTTTTATGCGTTCTTCACTTTATTTGTCAAAATTGTCTTCCTCGTTCTACTTAGTGAGTTTGAGAGAGTGAGTTTCAGACAAGTGTGAGATAAGAGTAGTAAATCTGCATATATCCCTTTTATATATTACACTTTCGTGTCATATAAAAAAATAATACACGTGTGTGCCAGCATTACCATGTCATAAAAAAATAATACACGTGTGTGTCAGCTTTGCATCTCAATTGACTTTGACTAATGTTTTGGATGAAAAGGATAAATGTGAACCAATTTAAAAAGATGAGGGACCAAAATGATCCTTTTTAAAATTAAGGGACCAAAAGGAACCATACACAAAATATAAAGGATGAAAAAGGATATTAAGCCATTATTTAAATAGAGAGCAAATGAACCTTCAACTTTTGAATAGAATATTCTTATCAATGTTAAAGTTCATGCTTAACCAATGAACTCGATGAAAAAAAGACGAAATGTTTCTCTTGCTTATTCTTTCATCAAGCATTAAAATATATACAAGAGCATGCTAGTATTTGATATCTTAGTATGTTGATCATACATTGGATTGTAACTTGCAGATCAAGTTAACTAACTAACTAACTAGAGTTATATATTTGTAACTAACACTCTAACTAACTCATATATCTTCTATAATTGTTTTATCATCATTTTATATCCACCCACAAATTGGTCATTTGCTTAGTCCTTTCATGAAAAACAGGGTTGACAACTATGTGTAATTCATTCAAGATGTCACAATATAAAATTGGAGGTTTAACACAATTTACTTGTAAATCACGCAATAGGTACAATATTCATTGAAGCACACATTTTGCAGTTTCATATGCTCTGTATTATGCTTTAAAGGATGGCCTAGAAATTGTGTAATGCTTCTTTGTTCTCCATGAGATGAAGGATGTTCTAATGGAGAAGCAAGATCATGAAATTGTTCTTTTTGTATCTATGTAACCTGCCTAATCTGCATCAGTGAAGCCATGAAGATGAATTGAGGAATCTCTATGATAGGATAAGCCTTTACTAGGAAAATGATTGAGGTATCTCAAAATCTTTCAAACAACATTATGGTGAATGATTGGTTTTTTGAATAAGATTTGGCTTAATTTTTAGCTAATGTATGTGATATTTGGTCGGGTAGTGTTAAGGTAAATTAGTCTACCAATAAACCTTATATAGGATGTAATATCTTCATATGGATCAGAGTTGTCATTACATAATTTAATGGAAGGGCCAAATGAAGCGTACACTAGTTTGGATTAATATCATGCAATATTTCCTTTGGAAAAGTGAAAGACCAAGTTTGGAGTAACTATTTTAAGACCTAGGAAATACTTAAGTATGCCAAGATCTTAAATTTTGGAAGGCTCGATGGAGGGTTCCTTTGATGGATTTAAATTCAGAAAGAGAATTACATGGTGGTTGTGTCTCATCAATGGTGGATTCTATGATAGGAATTGTTTGATAGATATCATGTGTGGAATATGTGGTTTGGATATTTTCAAGGTTTTGAGGCTCTTGTTCATGAGAATTAGAAGAATTAGGATTTCACTTGTTATGCAAGTCAGTGAAGTATTCCCAATTATATTTGTGGAAGATGATTCCACACAGGATCTTTGATGTATGATGCCTTTGAATGTGTAGATTTGAGGGATGAGAAACTTTGGCCATTATCAGTTCTGTGTGAATATCTCTCGCAAAACACATTGCTTCTCATATGCATTGGTGAATGCATGTACAAGCTAACATTGACCGATGTGAATTTAGTTCCTCCCGTAATCCATACAGTTTAGTAAAGTACATTGTTTAAGATTTTTAATCTCATCTCGAAGATTCGAAACACAAGTTCTATCAACTTTTACATATTGTTCCTTGGTATTAATCCAGACATCTTATTCATTATATAAGAATGCCATTGTTTGAGAAATTGGTTCAGTGGCTACAAGGTAGTTATAGGGTTTCCATGCAGCTCTATTGGGATCAAGAAGTTCAAGAACTTGAATGGATCCATCAATGAAGGAAGGTTTGTTATTAGAACCAAGAGCTCGTTGCATTGAGTGCGGTCGTGAATGATAGTCAGAGCCATTCAAAGTAGGCATGAGCTTCACAAAAGATGGACCTTCACTTGGGGGTGAATGTTACTATAAATGAGCTTTGTGCTCCACTAAAAAGGATCCATTGAAAATGGATTATTATATCTTGAAAAACAACATTTCTTTTACCATTGGCCTATATTCACCTTACTTGAATAATTTCTACAACACACATACATAAACATGAGATAAATAGAGAGATTACTTACAATCAAAATTCACATGTGATGTTAAAGTTTATTTATCAACTAACGAATATCCATTAAGAAATGAATATTTAAAATTGATAAGAACACAATAGATTTATTTATTATTTATTAAACTTGAATTGGGAACAAAATATAGTATGTAAATTAATACAAACATCTCAAGCATCATATTGGAAGAGGTTCGTAAAGAAATGAGGGATGAATGAAACATGCATAAAAACAAAAACATATATATTTTGGTTCCTCGAGATAGGGACCTACACCACATCAATAAAGCTATGGCTTTTCATACTACGTTGCATTTGTCGATGCTCAATCTAAGTATACTTGGATCTATTTCTAAAAGAACATGTCAGAAGTAATGCATGCCTTCAAACTCTTCCTAAAGTTTGTTCTGGTTTAGTTTAATTCAATTATCAAGGCTATACAATCTGATCATGGGAGAGAATTCATGTCTTTCACCAAGTTCATGATAGAGTTAGGCATATCTCATAGACTCATATGTACACACACTTCACATCAAAATGGATATGTGGAAAAGAAACATAGACATATAGTGGACATATGTACACACACTTCACATCAAAATGGATATGTGGAAAAGAAACATAGACATATAGTGGAAATAGGCTTGACATTTCTAGCTCAGGCATTCATTCCACTTCACCTTTGGGACCATATTTTCTCTACAGAAGTCCATGTTATCAACATAATTCACTACAACACTTAGGCTCTCTAGCAACAATTGAAAAATGTT